CATAGATGGCGGCCTTGAGGCGAAAAGCGCACAGCCAATCCGCTTCCTCTCCTTGTTATATTTAGCTCCTTGTTACACACTAGCCTCCACTGCCGCTAGCATCCAGGATGTGTACAGGCAGGAAGAAATTAATCGGAACTTATCCAAACGTCACACGTCCGCAAACGTCGGACATGGCTTCCAATATCATACCTTTTTGCTAGCCAGCTCTACAAGTGAAAAGACATCTGTGTCTTCTTGCTCTACTTCTGTGTAGTCTGGAAGACCAGCCAGTACCCTGAAATTGTATAGAAATGCGCAGTAGTAGAGCGAGTAGTGTTCAGGCATAAACATTCAACATGCAATGCAGCGATGTATTGTAGGCAGAGGCCACTAGTCGAGTGCAGAACAAACTAAAAGCTCGGGCAAAACACATTCATTTGCCTCACTGTATTACACATATCACCTACAGAGCGATGTGCATGCCTTTGTCAGAGACACTGCGAACTTTAATGCTGCTACTGTTCAAACACAGTCCAGGAGAACACTATTCACATGGTAACCAAACATGTGCTACTAAAAGCCATATTCATCCAGCCGAGGGTGAAGAGGGGAGGGGTCTGGGGTTCGTTCGCAATGCATTTTGAGCTTCAGCTTGAGGAAATTATTTCATAGAATAATAAGAATTACCTAAACGAAATATTGGAAATGTAAATAATAAACTAAAATCTGTAAAGTGAAAGCAAATTGGAATTTTAAGAGCGTGGGGCATGAAAACGGGGGGAGGGGGGGATAGGTGACATCACTATTAAATTGCAAAAAACCCTGTTCACATAAAGTCGTGCATACAAGACATTTCTACTAGAAATGTAGAGCAATAAAATGCAAGAGCTCATAAAGCAAGTATATATCTCTGCTTACGTTTTGCTGAGTGTACCCAGTAAAGCCTGCGGACTAGGGTAGTACGGCAGAGTCATGACTTGCACTATCAGTGGGTAGCCAGCCGAGTTCTCCAACGTAAATGACAAAACCTAGCGTAATCAAAACACCGTGCCTTGATTATAGTCATAATATTCAAAAATTGATCCAAAATTTTAACACAGGTTTGTCGTTCTGTCAGTAATGTCATCTTAACTAATTTCTATAACATGTATTGAGCCTTGCGTAAAAAACGTTTTTAGATAAACATGATATAGCATGTTATGACCTTCAGGCAGTCTCTTAACTTTAAAAAGTACCTTTTAGTTAGAAGATATAGGTCATAGGAATATTTCTTAGGTGCAAACAACATTTATATTACCTACACTGCCAGTGGAAAGTCATCTCACTCCAAAAAATGTTTTGGTAGGAACGCTTGGCCACTCAAACATAACTCGACAAAAACTGTGTTTGTTCAGCAAAACCGAGTGGAATAGTCTATAATCAGTGCATGTATGTGTGTGTGTGTGCGTGCGTGCGTGCGTGTGTGTGTGCGTGCATGTATGTGTGCATGTGCGCGCCTGCATATGCCTGTCTCCCACACAGGCACTTGGAGCATTTCAATAAAATATAATGCTAAATAAACACAAAATCTATTTACTACCAAAGTCTTAATGTTTCTCTTAATATAAATAACCAAGTTAATTGTTACTCAACCGTGCTGGTATGAAACGTACCGCTGACGTTTCGCCTCCTGTCAGGAAGCTTTCTCAAAGCTAACTGAATTTAATCAGTTTTGACCACCAGATGGTGTGGTGGTCAATAGCTTAGTCCACACGTGACTAAGCCTGTATCCCCCCTCATCCCGTTGATATTTGGCGGTCTTCGGATCCAAGATGCGCCTCCTATGATCCAAATCCTC